AGCCTAAGTCTTTTGCATTTAGATCCAGGTGGGTAGCCGTGTAGGTCTGAAGCAGCAGAGCAAAGCTTGAGTCCGGTGGCACCTTTAAGACAAAGTTTTATTCAAGGACTAAGTTTTCGTGGGCAAGCACACGTGAACCTTAGTCATGGTTTCATAGGGTCTCCCATGTCCATTCGCAGACCCTCGATTTCAGTGGCAAAGCACACTGAAGGGCAGCTGCTCCCCCCACAAATGGATGTTTACATAGGCCACTTCCACACTGTTACTTTTGTCACTCGTTTTTCCCTATTGCCTCGGTGCCCCCCCCCTTTCCTGTGTTTTGCTCCCTCTGACCCCCTGAAGCAATAGGGACGAACGAGTGACAAAAATGCAGGGTTATTTTTGGGCAGGAACGCACAGGAACGGAGTTCCAGCTGGTTCCTGAGTTGGCCACGCCCAGCAGGAACTCGTTTGCATAATAGGCCACACCCAACCACAGAAACTCATTAGGATTGGCTACATTAGGGGTGTGTGGCCTAACATGCAAAGGAGTCCCTGCTACAAAAAAAGGCCCTGGATTTTGACAACAAACAAGGTAAACAGAATAAGAAGCAAAAGGTGGGTGTGGCTGGATGACCACACTTCTGGTAACATGGGGTCACGGCCTAATATGCTAATGAGCTTGCTGTCAGGGTGTGGCCTAATATGCTAATGAGTTTCTGCTCTTGGGTGTGGCCTATTATGCTAATGAGTTCCTGCTGGGCTTTTTCTACAAAAAAAGCCCTGCAAAAATTACAGTGCAGAAGTGGCCACAGGCTGAAATGGTTTGGGGCAGTACCACTTTTGTACCATCACGGGGGTGCAGACTGATCCCACAGCAGTCATTTAGCCCTCAGTTGCCACAGTTCACTCACTCCATTTCTAACTGAAGAAACCAGGTGACATCATTGTCAGACGACAGCACTCCTGCATCTTTTGTGCTGTGTTTCTGTCTTCACAACTGACTCATTGCAACTTCTTTTAAATGGGAAATGTAGGGCCAAGCTGTCACTAATGGACAGGCAAAGCACTGTTGAGACTCCCAGGGCGACTGTTCCTTTAAAATTTCATCCCTTCTCCTTCCAGCTTCATTATCTTCCAGTGCTTTTCCAAATTCTTTTGGTGCATTCAGGAACAGACAGTGAAATACCAGCTCTTATTACATTGGGGTGCAGGGCTTAAACAGAGGATTTCACTTGGTAATCAGAGGAAGCCTTTTTTAAAAAAAGATTCATAACCTACATTAAAAACAATAACTTTGACTTGCTACAACATAAACATTAGCACTTAATCTCTTTTCCTCCTGGGAATGAGAGCTGATAGCAAATCATGTATTTATTCTTGAATGGCTAGCCAGCTGGGGAGAGAACCCAAGTAATTCATTAGGCTAAAAATGCAGGAACAAAAGGAAAGCTGCAGACAGAAGCACCCCCTATGCTAAAAGGAACTTCCATTCATGTAGTGAGAACCTGCCTGGGGTGAAGGGTGCGGGAACTGTTATGGGGACGAAATCACGACATGAAGGATCGTGCAGTCCTTGGGTCTATTCTGCTTGCAACCAAATGCAGAAAAGGGATCCTCCAGTGGGGCAAAAAAGTTGTAAAGGAGAACCGCCCACAGTTGTGGCCATCAAAACTGCCCAACTGTTCTAAAAGCAGAGACTGGGAGCCTGTGTGAGTAGTTATCGACCACACTGCATCTTGCTGCGTGCATGCACAGTCTGTGCCTATGTTTGCTTTGTCTTCTGTCCTGGAAAGGAACACATAGTATCGCTGCAGTATTTCTGCCGCTGGGGTGAGATCAGGGGCCCCCCAGTGTCTCGAGTGGACCTGAAGCAAATTGACACCCCCAAATCATTCCTTCGAATTTTGATAATCAAACACTACAAAGCATTCTCTGTGACTGAGATCTTTGCAAAGTCTTTGTTCTCTGTATTTGACAACCTGTGATGTTTCATTACAACATATATTTAACAATCTTGGATAGCTGACATATAATGGTGTCTCATACGCGACGATATTGGGTTGTTCTGCATGCAATGGCATTTAGACTGCATTTCACAGCAGACAAGATGTGGTATTTAGCACCCAACGGGTGTTTCACAGATTGTGTGCAATGGCATTTGGTTATCAGGCGGCATATGCGATTTCGTATCTGATGGCTGCCAAAACGATCAAGAGACACCAAGTCCCGATATGCTTTAATTTGGGAGTTGAAAATTGACTCTTAAACGCAAAGGATGAGTGGTAAAACTGGAAATGTTGGCAGATGTACAAAATACTTTCAAATAATTCATCTCAGCTCTGCTTGCCAGCACTGCTACTCTGGGCCATGTGATGTGGTCGTGTCTGCCACCCAGTGGCGTCTTTCTCTCTGTGTCAGCAGCACTTAACAGTTTTAACGCACAAATCGACCTGATGACAGCATCCTTTAATGGCAGACTGCTTGCGGCCTTGCCTCATATTCTTCATCTCCGTGAAATGTGGTTTCATACTTTTGTGACATTCTTTCCGGCAGTCGCATCCTGTCACATCTCCGACTGCACCGCTTGCCTCTGCAGCTGCACTGCTCCATCCCATGGCTCAGCCTCTGTCAGCTAACTCCCAGCCTTTTGTATTTCCATTGCCTCAAAGTCCCTGAGCTAAACCTTGATATGTGACCTCTGGAACCGTCCTGGTTTTGGTTTTTTGCCTGCTAAACCAAAAATCCATGGGGAGGGTTACATATGTGAACACTGCCATTGGTAGACCATTGCCCGAAACAGACTAGACCTTGTTGAACTCTTGGGGTGATTTCCCACAAGCGCTGCTCCGCGCTCACTCCTCCCGGCCGCATTTTGCCCGCAGCTTCGTGCGATTTTCCCCGCATCTACTCAATCCTCAAAAAACAGTAGACGCGGGGGGAAATCGCACGAAGCTGCAATGCGGTCGTGCAGCAGCTTGTGTGAAATTGACACGTACCATCCGGCCAAAGAGAAGAGTGAGCGCGGAGCAGCGCTTGTGGGAAATCACCCTTGGGTCTTTCTTCAAGCTAGTTATCAGAAGAGTCTGACTGAGGTCAAATCTCTCTAGGGGTTCAGGGAACTGATTTGTCTGGGCTTCTTTAGCCATTCTTGGTGACAGCCAAGTAGGAGACTTTGACGGTGTGTTTTCTACAACTCTCTGGCCTCCCAGCTACCTTGCGTGCAGTGTGCCTCTTAGTAACATGTGCTGCATGAGAGAGAGAGAGAGAGCAATAGACTGTGATTCAGCGGCATAAACTAGGGCTGAGGAAGGCAGCTGGCCCAGACACAAGCACTGTTCTCTCAGAGGAGCCCGAGCAGTGTCACAGCGCTGCCGATTTGCCTAGAGCTTTGGGCACACGGGAAAGGGGTACAAAACGGGATGCTGCTCCCTCAGAGAAGTCTTGTGAGGAGATCATGGCATAGCTATTCGGTGTGAATGTAAACAGGGGCAAGCCAAAAGTGAGCTCAGACCAAAGTCACAATGGGAGCAACCTGATCATCAGAGGCACAATTCATGAAAGCACGTCTGGGTACAAAAACGTCTCACTGCACCAGTCACAGATGGGCGTGTTTTCTGGAATCCCTTTCTGCAACCGTCTCCGTTCTGAACTTCAGTTCTCAATGTACACAACTAGCAAAATTATTTATATGTCCCTAGGATGGAGAGGGTTGAGTGTGTGTATATGAGACAGAGTGATTGATCACCTGAAGGCCAGTCAAGTTGTTGAACAAGAAAGGAAGGAAGCAAAAAGGCACATTCTTCTGTTACCAGGCCAGAACTGACGGGAAAGGAGTTGCGAAACAGATGTCAAACAGCAGAAACCTTGAATATACAGGAGGGACTGCCTCTGGTGATCTTAAGGCAAGTCTTGACATGCCTTCCGTAACATACAGTCAAGAACAAACCCGAGGGCAGCCAAGTTCCATTTTGACGTCACACTCGTTGGAACCAGTCGTGCAAACTATGTCTGCTCAAGTTGGTTCCTCCTGGGTCCCAGTGGGCCAGGGATCAAGAGACAGCCCCCACCCTGAAACACGTACCAATGGCCATTTTGAAGCACTGTGCCTGACCCCTGAAAACTGCAAGCATTTAGATGTCCTCCCCCCAAACCCTCTTAATTTGGGACAGCTCAAATTTGTTTAAAAGCCCTCTAGTTTTAAATTAGGAGCTGCGGTGGCCCAAGTGGTTAAGACACTGAACTGCAGGCTGTGGAAGGTCAGTAGTTCAGCAGTTCGAGACCCGGGTGCCGCATGACGGAGTGAGCTCCCGTCTCTAGTTCCAGCTCCTGCCAACCTAGCCGTTCGAAAGCAAGAAATTGCAAGTAGATAAATAGGTACCACTTCGGTGGGAAGGTAACAGTGTTCCTTGCGCCTTGGTGTTTAGTCATGCCGGCCACATGACCACGGAAACATCTTTGGACAGCGCTGGCTCTTCGGCTTTGAAACGGAGATGAGTACCGCAACCCTAGAGTCGGACTCGACTGGCTTTCGAGCAGGGGAACCTTTACTTTACTTTTAAATTATGGGTTTTGGGGCACAGGGATCATTGGTGATGGGGAACTTGATAAAACCGGCCTAATACACACAGCCACTTTAACACAGGAAACCAGTTAGTTGGGTGGCTCCCAGTTGGCTCATAGCACTCCTCACCCCATGATGACCTACATGACTCTCTCCATACAACTGGCACACGGAGTGAACTACTTGATCCAATCTCATTTATCAGGCATTAAATGGAGCTGAGGTTGCATTCAACCTAGACATCTCCACACCGGTGGTCCTATTTCACGCAGAAGAGGGCAGCTAAGGGGTCAGCCCTTATTCTGACCCCTCCCCAGAGATGGATGAACATGCAACCAAATGTGGGGCTACTGACCATCTGGAACAGCAGAAGGCGTTTCTCCCCCCCCCCGCCCCCGATTCTGCCCCTTGACCACAACTTGCTGTGCCCTCTTGACCTTTGCATGTGTGACGCCCTTTCCAGACTGACACGGCAGAAATGAGACCCATCAAACAAGGAGGATTCTTTTAAAGTGCAGGATGCTTCCCGGCACGTTGAATGTAAAATCTGTCCATTTCCAGATCAACAAAATAAATAAATACACAGTTATAAAGGATGGGAGGGCACCAGGGGTGGGGACGGGAGAAGAGGTCTTCTCCTGGGTTGACTTGCTAACAAAGCAAGGACATGTTATCAGGCCTCTTGGAAACGGTGGGGGGGGGTACAATTTTATCTGAACTGAGGAAGGCTGCAGTATCACAGTGATGCTGAGTAATAGCCAGAGCTAAACATCAGCAAGGCTCACTGGTTTTCAGAAGCACCTCCCATGATGCTCTAGGTAAAGCTAATCCATGGTACTTTCCCACCAGGCATGGTAGGTATCTTGCAACTGGGTGCAACCAGAGCAAATGTGCCAGCAAACGGCTGTCATCTGAGAATTACCTGACAGTCCTTCTATGGCCAGAGCGCTTCTCTCAGCCGAAGTCCCTCATTTGCAACTTATACTTGCCCGTTCTACCTATGATGCCGACACCCCCCCCCCTCTGCAGGAAGATCAGGAAAGGGAAACTGGTCCCTTCTTGTTCACCCAGATAGGCCCGGTTGTGCCAGTTCCAAGTGATACACCGGAAGACCACCCATTTAGGAAGTCTAGCACCATAAAATCAAGGTCTGTCTCTCTGGCTTAACTAGATGGCAAGACATGTGGCACCATCCACACCCCTTGTTTGGCGGGCTTGGCTTAGCATCGGCTTAGTTTCTGTCCTATCAGACTATGCTGTGCCTAACTCCAGGTTCACAGGGGGGCTCCAGGTGACTGGAACGGGCTGGCTTCCTGGACTTGCAACAGACGCACTCCAAAAAGTCAGCGATGTTGTGTCTGAAGAGGCGGCGGCATGGGTGGAAGTACTGGTAAAAGAAGAGCATGAAGGCGATGGCCAAGCAGTAGGCCACAATGAGCTGCACCACCAACATGGGCATGCAGATGTATTCATAGAAGTCTGTCTTAAAGATGTACCAGAGGATGAGCAACACGCTGTTCTCCACGCCCCGCAACACATAGTAAACCACCAAATACCACCAGCTTTGTGACTTGGAGATCAGGTCTCGGTCGGACAGCCGGAGCTGCACAGCAGACCAGCAGAAGACATTGATGCCAGCGTAGAGCAGAGTGATGGAGCACAGAACGGAGATGGTGCCCACCCGGCTGAAGTTCTTCTCTACGTTATCGGGCAGCTCGGCACCGCTCCGCCAAAACTGTATCCACGGCAAGAAGAAGAGCACCAGGAAGTTGGCCATCCCAATGGCTAGTGCGTAGTGCTTGAAGACACTTCCGAAAAAGACCAAGATAGTGATGCGGGTCGAGATCTCCAAGCAGCGCCAGAGGATAATGCAGATGAAGCCCAGCGGGCGCAGGCAGATCTTGTAGTCGTCGTACTTGATCTGGATGGCCAGGACGTTGCAGACCAAAGCTCCGTAGGTGACCGACACTAAGCAGATGCCCATCAGGACTGCTGAAATAGGGAGGAAAAACCAAATGGTGAGCATACATGGAAGCAAATACCCATTGCTGGTTGCCCATCGTACAGTTAAGATCCTTGGGTTTGTGCAACATGGAAATGGGAAAGTGTTGGGATCGTAACCATGGCTGTGTGTACACCACATTTCTGACGAAGTGCAAACATGCGTACTTGGCACTGGGTCAGAACCACAGCTGCAGAAGGGCACATCAGGGCAAGAGATAACCCAATCCCCTTTTCTGATTTTCCAGCTTTCATTTTTCAAAAATGGGAGTCTCTAGTCTTGAAATGTATTCAAGCCATGTCTTCTACTTGAATACATTTCAAAGGATGGAAGGAAGGAAGCTGCAGGGTGGTTCCTGCCCTGGATCACATAAACCTTTATCAATGGAGCTCGACAACTGCATTTGCCCTGCTGCAGATAAGCTTCTCTCCTGTGAACTTCTTCCTTCCTTCCTTCCTTCCAAATTTGCTTCCCTTTGTCAGCTGCGAAAAGCGAGAACATTGGGCAGAAAACAGGTGTGATGTAATCTACTTTTTGGTTGCTGCCTTCTGTTTGCACAGGGGAATTTACCTGTGTGGCGCCATGGATGGGGGCAGGAAGAGAGCAATGAACGCCCAGTCATGCTCCATTTGGTACCCGTTTCTAATCATTCCGGGCAAGCCAGGACACTGCAGCCTGCCTCAGTGTGAAGGGAAAGGACCATATACAGCAGGGGTGGCCAAACTGCGGCTCAGGAGCCCCATGTGGCTCTTTCACACATATTGTGTGGCTCCCAGCAGGGCAGCTGGAGAAGCGAAGGGGAGGCAGGCTTCTCCCTCCCTCCCTCCCTCCCTCCCATCTATTGCTTTCTTTGTTTCTCTCTCTCTCTCTTTCCACCTCTTTCATTCTTGCTTTCACCTTGCCTCTCTTTCTCTCTCTCTCTTAGACAAATAAATATCATTAGCAAACAAATAAATATAATTGGACAGATAAATATCATTCTCAATATCTGTTTTTACCCCTTTTATTTTTGGCAGCCTCGTGTAATGTTAATAAGAAGCAAATGTGCATATTTTAAAATAAAAACATGTAATATCGGTTCATGTCTTGTGGCTCTCAAACATCTGATGTTTATTCTGTGTGGCTCTTAAGCTGAGCAAGTTTGGCCACTCCTGATCTACAGAATGCCTTTGACTCACCAAATGAATAATGTCTACCTCACAAATGAAACTGGTTTATTTGTGATGTTTCATGGTTCATGAAGCTGGCATACCATGAACCATACCACATTTTCCCAGTTCATGCCCATCACTACTCAACACCAGTTCTCTAGGTGAAATCCATCTGGTTGTCCTCATGAATTACCCCTGCATTGACCCATGTGGATCTATAAGAACCAGATCATCACTGAGACAGTACCCTAAGACCACAATTGTACCTTTAAAGATTGACTACCTCTTTCAATAGTCTTTCAGTAGTCATGTATGGCTGCGAGAGTTGGACTGTAAGGAAGGCCGAGTGCCGAAGAATAGATTCTTTTGAACTATGGTGCTGGAGAAGACTCTTGAGAGTCCCTTGGACTGCAAGAAGATCAAATCAGTCAATCCTAAAAGAAATCAACCCTGACTGTTCCCTGGAAGGCCAGATAATGAAACTGAAGCTCAAATACTTTGGCCACCAAATGAGAAGGGAGCACTCACTGGAGAAGACCCTGATGCTGGGAAAGATTAAAGGTCAAAGAAGACGGGGACGGCAAAGGGTGAGATGGTTAGACAGCGTCATTGATGCAACGAACATGAAGTTGAGCCAACTTCAAAGGATGGCAGAAGACCGGAAGGCCTGGCGTGATCTGGTCCATGGGGTTGCGAAGAGTTGGACTTGACTGTGTGACTGAACAACAACAACAACCACCAAGCTCCTGTCCTCATCTCTCCCAACTGCTGGGATTAGGGCTAAAGGACCAAAGTGGAAACAATGCTCAGGCGGGTGTAAACCCCAGAACCTCTTAGAACAGACTTTAAAAAAAAATCCTGCACAGTGCAGGGCCAAAGGACTCAGGGAATGGCACAAACCCTCCCCTTTATTCTTTTATGTTTAAGCTCCTCCCTATGGGTGGAATTTGAATTATAAACCAGCCACCTCAGCTGTCTGCGGAAGAGATATGTTAGCCACCGAGCCATCTGTGGAATTGATATGCGGCGCAACCCGACAATAGATTAAATTGCTGAATAGCACAAGATTTTAACTGTATTGTAAGTAGTCCATTATGTATTGATATATATTATATGTCGTATGCCACCCTGAGTCCTGCTTGCGGGATATGGATCGGGACAAAAATCAACTCAACTCAACTAAACTCAGCAATATCCAAGTAGTGTTCAGCCCCACCATCTCTTACAATAGAAGATCTTGAGGGAAGACATAAATAAATCTGAGCCAGTGATCAGCCCTGCTCTCAGTGCCAAGTCTGCAAAACAGGTAAAGAAGGGAGGCCTGGGCCTAATATTTGGGGTGAGTGAGTCCCTAGGCTGGAGACAGTGAATTGCAGAAAATGGCACTCTGGCATCATCCATTAAAGTATTGGCTAATCTCCCACGTACATACACACCCAGTTTTTGTCAATAAAACTTTAATCCTGCCCCACACACTGCTCCAGACTTCTTGGTGTGGATTCAACCATTCCATGCATGGAATGAGGAGTTTTCCTGCATCCTTCTCTGTTCCTGCAGCCTCTTTAGACACCGCCCCCCTGAATGGTAAATTCCCAAGATTGTGGACCTGGGTGGAGCAACAGCCTCATGGGTAGGGGAGCTGGTGCAAGGAAGGACCAGGAGGCAAAGCAGCTCCTTCCTCCTCTTCTGCAAGCACAGCTCCACTGAGGAAAGGGGCTGACTTCATCCCCTTGTCCCCCCTTTATTCTAGTTTATCGACCTGCACCGCTACTCCTTTGCGTGGATCCGACAACCCCAGGAGTAACCCTTCCGGAGTCAGAAGGGGCTGCAGGAAGGGAGAGGAACACAGGAAAACTGTGTGCCTTCTGTGCATGAATGGCCAGTTCCACACTATTCCCTTCAATGCCTCTTAAGAAATGAATATCAGTATATGAGATAAAATTTTTAAAAACAGGTTACAGTATGATTATAATGCATCACTTTTGCTTAGTTTGCTGGCAACACTGGCAATGCACCATTTTACAAAGATGAGTGAGAGTGCTGCTTGTGTAAATCCCCAAAGTATATTCTACTTTTTAACCATTTTGCAATCTAAGAAACCATCACAAGAATACCTGATACAGTGTGGAGAAAGAGGCACTAGCATACATTGCTGGTAGAGTTGCAAGTTTATCTTTAAATCTGGGCAAGAGGTTACATCCTATATACAATTAATCACAGGGCATGCCATATCGTTAAAACCGAGCTTGTTTTGCTTGACCTTTGGGATGATCCTCTTATTTTACATTCAAGCAGAGATTTGATCATCACAATGTTAACAGCAGCTAAATTAGTGATAGCATCGAAGTGGGAGGCAAAAAGTGGCCCCACAATTAAATTATGGTTTGCCAAATTATGGGATTGCTGTCCCATGGGAAAACTGATAGACCAATTCTGGAGAACTAGAGAACAAAGACTATCGATCCTATTTTGTAACAAGATGGTTTCCAATTCTGGATTACATGGCACAACACGTGATCCTTTTAACCAACTCAGCCCCAATTGATTTACTCCTTCTATAACCTTCTTAGTAAAGTCTATGTACACTGAAGTATAATGTATAGATTAGCCCTAGGAGTAGTTTAAGGTTTCCTCGTTAGTGGTTTATAGCCATTTGAAGTTTATGTTGTTTTATTTGATTTGAAGTGTACCAAGATGTGCAATGTTACTTATGTTAATTGAATCAATTGTGCTATGTTATATTGTTAAACTGTTGAAATTAAGATTAAAAAAAATTAAAACCCCAAGAATATGTAATGGAGTACCCAAGGAAAGCATGCAAATTTTATAAAATATAAATTAGATTACCTTAACTGAAAACCTGACCTCTTTCTCAGATGTGACTTCCGAGAAGGAATTCAGAACTATACATTTCCACTTCTCCATTACTGTCATGTTTAGAGGCCTCTCGGTTCCTTGCCTCGGTGCTGGATGAAACATTATTACAGCCACTAATGAAGCTGTGGTTTTATGTTTGCGTCGCGCAAAAAAAAAATTGTTCAGTCAGATAATGCTACGGTGGTTAGATACGACCTTCCTGTTTGGAGTGGAATATCCATCACTGATTGCCGTGGAATCTAGAGTCTAGCTGAGCCCTCAGGCACTTTTCCCCCCCCCCCCCCAATCTGCCTTGGGCAGAAAATGCCTTGCGCCAGCCCTGGCTTTAAGCATATCGGACTTATATCTATGCTTTTGCTTCTTACAATTCTCCGCTCCCACCCCAGAATACCCCTGTGCCTCCCTGCTATAATATTTCTGGCTACAGATCCATACTGGCTCATTCCATGTGATTACAATATGTGCCTGGGCATGTGTACGATGCCCTTCATGTCACCACTAGTTACGAAATCAATGGCGGTCACGCAAGAGCTCCCTGCTTATCTGACTTATCCCTGAAGTTCATTCTGATGTTATGAGATAAAATGTGGAGCTCCAGGGATGTTTCCTGCACTCCTTGGAGAAAGGGAGGGATACAAACGGATTCCAGACAGAACGTGATTTTTTTTCCTTCTTCCAAACTGACTGATTCCTCTTCCCTGTGAAAAAGCAGCTGCTGCTCGTGTGGCTTCTGGGAGACATGGGCAAAAGGCACCCTTGGGCAGATGGCGCAGGAGCGATACCAGAGAGAGACGGCTCATGACAGGTGTTGGGTCAGCTGGCGCCAGAGAGTAAGAGATTGAGGCCTCACATAGCTGACGTGCTGACAGTTCTGAAAGGAGAAAAGAATTTCCCGGTGGCAGAGCACTCGGCTTGCCCTGCAAAACCAAGCACGTTTCTTCTTTCTCCGGCTTGCACACTGA